TTTTTAAATATTTCTATTGAAAATTACGATATCTGCATTAGTGTTTTTACCATTTTTAATTGTCTCATTCGATTACGTATAAATATTAAATGTAAAATATTATTATTACAATACGTACTTAAACTATAACTACTGATCAAGTACCTATCCATAACAATATGCATAGAAAATATATAATAATTATACTTAATCGACTTTCGGTAAGTATGCAGACCATAGAAGAAAGATTAAATCCAGACCTTCGGATTAAAGAACATTTTATAAACTATATCATAACATAATATGATTCATTATTATTTATTACTATTACAATAAATACTCTTATTTTACTGTAATAATATATTATGATTCAAAGAATCCCTAAACTCGAATTCTAGATTCTGTATCATTTTTATTTTTATTTGCCATTATTAGACACATGTCTTGTTAATATAAAAAAATAAAAATTAACCAGTTTATTAATGTAATCGCGGAGTACAGATTGCACAGAACAGTCACAAACTCAGAACCATTATTGATCTGTATTCCTTAGTTCAACGGTCAAATAGATTAAAATTATAATTTTAAATAAATTCTTGGCAGCAGTATATTATTTCAGATAAGATATTATACTATATAGCTCTAATTTTCATATCGTACGATGAATACCATGTATTATACACAATTCCGCATAATTTTGACTATTGACTAATATGTTTGTTATATCAAAATATAGTGGTTAACCTTGGAAAAAAATGAGTACTCATCCATTAACAAAATATACGGAATGTAAACATTTACATAAGGCGTAATAACTGAACGAATAAAGAGTGATTTTTAATTAGCACAGCTCCTTATACGATTAAATTTACGTTTTTGGAAAAATAATTGACGGTAATTAGCAAAACAATTTTATTGTTTAAAATTTTGCATTAGCGATTATTTTCAATAAGTACGTTTTATGCATCACAAATTGTGTCAAAATTCGTGAACTATATTTATCTATTTTTCTACATAATAAGTTTAGGCGAACGTTGAAGACTTGTCAGTTGTAGTGCAGAATGTTTACATTAAGGAGACCGGTTCCAATGTAATTTTGCCCACAAAAATACGCTTTACGAGAATAATGATCACGTTCTGTAGAATGAACAACATTTGATAATTATTCATGTGAAGTTTTTTCTTCAATATAATACACCGTATCAACCACCCCCCTCCCCCCCCTACGAAATAGGTATTGTGCAGTAGATTAGTGGAAAAGTGTTATGATAATTAAGGTAACTAAAAAATAAAATATTATTTTAAAATTTTACAGAACGGCGGAAAATTTGATAAACCGGCAACGTAATAAAGACTATTAAAACAAATTTTTTCCATGATCTCAAAAATGTATTTCCTTAATGAATGCTGTTTTTAAAATTTGATATTGTGTAAATTATAATATCATGTAATCAACAATCATATTATAGGCACTAACAAATTATAAAGACAATGTATTGTGTAATCAATACCTAATATATTAAATTGAATAAATAGGATTAACAAAATTAGTAATATTACTTTTATCTTAAAAAATATTTTTATTAGCTGATTGGTGATTACTAATACAAATGTTTAACCATTTAAAATTTAATTGAAATTTTTATAAAAATTAATTTTATCATTATTCTTATTCATAACCATGTATTTATATTTTATGATATGTATCATTCGTCTTACTGCATGTTCATTATTTACATATAACAATTTTTAAGTATACTATTTTTGCAAAATGTCACTAAAAATTAAATTATTGAAACCCTAAATTCAATTTATAGTTTATTAATAATAAATTTGATTCATTGACTCGTTAGTCGTTAATGTATTGCACCTATTAATTGTACAGATTTTATGTTTCACAATACACGTAAAAAAATTTTATACATAATAGGAAAATCAAAATGTTTGACATGCAAGTAGTATGTAGATACAAATTATAAAAAGAAAATTATTTGAAAAGAAAATTATGAAATTAAAATTTTTTTTTTTTTTGTAGGTAACTTAACACCTTTTTGATGTCTGGATAACCAGACATTTGAATTCAAAGCCGGTGTTTTGATAACCAGCGTTTTAAATTTAGGGTTGCCATATTTTATTTTACTTTAGCTGGAACAAGCTTTTTTTGTTCAATTTTTAAAGGAAAAATGTTATCATGCCAGTTTTTTTTAACATTCTTTTTTTCGAAACTGAAATACAAAACAAAATAGTTGGCACTGTTTAACATACCTTCACTTTATAAGGTAAAAATTATAGATAAATGTATAGAAAAAATATAAAAATATATTATTTCTATAATAAGAAAACAATGATGAATGATATTCGTCACCAAGCCAGAGAAATAATTTTAAAAGAGATTTGGTAATTTAATCAAGTAATCATATTTATTATCTTATCATTTATCAAAACAATATTGTCATAGAATACTATAGAAACGACACTCCCCCCACCACTTCACTTTTTTTCATTTTGGCAGCGGACTGATTGATGTTGTAAGCATAGCGGGAGAACATGAAGTTATAAACAGTCGGTTGCTCTATTATCACTGCAAACTGCGGATATCACTTATCACTTGCATGATATTACACATTAATAATATACTCTTTTCAGAATAAGAACGCACCAGATTTACGTAACAAAACCGGTTTTGTCCGTGGACGCCTGGTTCCTTCTTATTCTGAAAAGAGTATAATTACACATTAAAATGGTCCTTAAAAAATAAAAATGTAAATATATATATATATTTTTTTTATTGATCAAAATAACATTGACAGTAAAGGCCATTAGTTAATAAAATTATATTTTATAATGTAAATATTGTATTGTACATTCTTTTCTTGATATCCCATTAAATAGACAAACTAAAGTTATTCAAATTATTTTGAATGGCGGGAAATTATATAGATAGGTTTGATAATATTCTATGGTTGATGTTGTGAACACAGCGGGAGAACATGAAGTTATGCACCTTATCAAATTGATTCAGGCAGAACAAAGGATTTCGGGAGAGTGTCGTTTCTATAGTATTCTATGATATTGTTGTCAACTAGAAATTTCTGTAAAAGACTAAATTTTAACATAAATTATTGAAGTTTAATAGTTCAAAACTTTAATTCCGATACAATTTGCCATCCCAAAACATTTCATCAAGATACCAGACAATAAATTAAAAACCCGTAGTCACTGCATCACTGGGATGTATGGCAACCCAAAATTCTTTACGTTTTACAAATCTGCCAGAATCAAAAATTAAATAAATAAAAATTTAAATACTCTCTATATGAGTGTATGCCTAGAATAAAATTGATCATAATATGTTTGTACATAATTTGTACACATTAGATGATTGAATGTCAATGTAAATATTTTTTATAATCTCAAGAAAATATTTACATCATTATACAAAAACACCATTTTAGTTAATTTTTTTAGGTTATATATTAATGAAAAAAATAGTTTATTTGAATATACATGTACAGATAATACTTTAAATAAATTGTAATGGTGCACATAAGAAAACTTAATATGTAATAAAAGCTTTTATGAAATTATGATTATACTATTTTTTTACCTGAATAGCTAAATGTAAACAAAAATGATATGGAGGCTCACTCTTTGTGTTTGTATGAAATATCAAATTATTAAGTATTAAGTTATTCAGATCACAATGTTAATCTACAAAATACTAGATAATGCATAAATACAGATGTTGGTACAAATCTACCATAATAAAACATGTAAATAATAACATTTTTGTTTGTACAATTAATATCTATTTAATTTTTAATATAAAGTAAAGAAAGTACTATTGCTAAATTTAAATTTATTTTTAAATATAACAACAATAACAACCCGCCTACAATACCCATAAACAATATGAAAATAATAATTAAACAATAAGTAGATAATATTTATATAAATTATTAACTACAATTAGTTGAAGCTCATTGAACTAATCATATACCATCATTTTGTTTTAATAATTTCTATAACATTATTTTATAAGTATACCTACACAACTTATAATTTAGTATTTATATATTTACATAAATTATATTATATATGTATATTATTTAAAATAGTAATTGTAGGTAAAAAAAAAAATTAAAATTATAAAATCAACAAAAGTTTAGTAGAAAACTATAATTTATTTCATAAACAATTTCACTGAGATTAATATGACTAGCATACCAAAAATGTTGCATCAAATGTAAGAGATTTGTTCATATTAAGTAGTATCGATTTACTCAAACTAGTTCACAACTACACTTCCAAAGGAAATTAAGGATATGAGTATTGCCAATAAAAAAAATAAAAGATAGTGATGGGTGTTAAAATACAATCTTGCTCTTTATAAGTGTCAAATTTTATCGTAGTAATCAATCTATTTTGTAGGTGTGGTTACTAGATTGTGTGCATTTGTTCCTTAAAATTAACTAGGTATATAAACATAAACAATTTACTCATAACTTAAAACAGTTAAAACTCTTAACATAAAACTAGGTTATGACTAGTTTTGCCAAACTTTATCAAGGGTACAATCAGAGATCTTGGCCTTCGCAAAAAAAAAAAAAAAATACAATGGCATCCTTAAGCTTAATAAAAACTTATTAATTATTTATTTGTATTTTTAATAAAAAAAAAAAAATTAGCGTTAAATTATTTAAAATGTATTCATGAGATTTTTAACACGATTTATAATTAAGGATTTTCAAAACCACAATCCGATGATTAGCAGATCTTCAAATGTAAAATAACCATTACTTATTTTGATAAATAGTTTGAACTCATTTTTTCAAATAAGATTTGAGCATTTATAATAGTCGTGTTGAGTATTTAAAATTTCAAAAATTATAATAAACTATAGAGTTGTCAATGATACATACATGTATGTATTATCCATCTGCTTTATTTTTTAATGGCAAGATAGTCTTTCCCTCCCAAAAATCAGATCTAATGCAAATTAATACATTACAGGCAGTTATTTACACAGTGACAAGTGGTTTGATTTCTTTATGTACAACATAAAATTTGTACTTGTTGCCAAAAAGCCCCCATATAACTGCAACATTTTCAATTATTACGTTAAAAGGTATAGTACACAGTGCTCCTATTATGCATAATGTAAATTTTAGGACACCAAAACGATATAATGAAAAAGATTTCACTACACCAAATATGTACATATAAATATTGACACCGGCGATAAATGCACAAACAAAATCCATGATTGCAGGACATGGAATTGGAAAGTATCTAGCTAAAACTAAATTAGAAGTAGACAGCGGCAATGTCACCCATGAATAACATGATAAAGCTAACCAAATTTTTGTTTTTGAAGGAATGGCCGCTGAATGGACTACTAATAGAATACCTTGAAGCCAACGTTTACGTTGTTGGATAAAATCCCATAGTGAAAATGGTGATTTTTCCCACATTTCTCCTTCCACAAAATTGAATGTATAGCCTTCTTTAGCAGCTCGCATGGCAAAAAAACAATCTTCTGCAATTGATCCATCCAAGCCATTATCAAATGAAATATGACGCTCTGCACCCAACTAAAATTTAAAATATTTATGTAATTTTTGTCTAACACTTGAGAAATTTAAATTCAGTATCAAACTCTATTGATAAAATTAATAAATGCATACTATGATAATTTATTTATTTAAGTAAATACATTCAAACTCGTATAATTACTTGGGTGACAACATATGATCCTTTCCAACTTAGAAGTGGCTTATGAAACATTGAAAGTTGAATTCGAAGTTTACCCATATCATCAGCTACTCTGAAACTATCTGCTAAGGTTGTGAACCAATTTACTACTTCTTCATTTGCATATGTTATTAGACCCTGGCCAAACTGATGTTTACCATCCAAGACAAAATTTAATACACCTCTAATTGAATTTTCTGTCAATAGGGTTTCTTCATCTAAATGTACAACCCAATCACAATCTGCCAAAATATTTACATTGTCTTCCAAACAAAATTGAAGGGCTCGTGATTTAAAAAGTGCACCCGTCTTTGTCTTATATGATTTTGGAACAACCACTTCCCTTATACGCCTATGTACAGGAAGACCAATACTTTTATCTGTCACTACTTCAATAATGAAATTTTCCAATCCTAAAATATGAATTATTCAACAAATTAGTGAGTGTATTAAATAATAAAATAAAAGCTATATTTAAATTTTACCAGTTTCCAAACATCGAGCCATATTACGGGCAACATTTGCTTTGACTAACTGAGGATAATCTCCTCTCGTGACTATACGTATGCATATAAATGGAGCCAACAAAGGTGATCCTTTTAGAACGACTTTGTCTTGAAAAGCATTATACAGTGTAAGACCGCCAAAATTCAATAGTACTTGTGGTAATGGTAAGAAGGTCAAACATCGTAGTAGATACAACATAAAGCACCAAATAAAACCATAGCGTTCCCATGGATTAAAATTATAAGTATTTTGAACATCTGCTGATAGTTTAACACCTCCCGACCAGATTTCAAATATTGATATTACAAACACCAATAAGGTACAATGAAGAAAATGTTTGGTCCAACTGCTTAACATAGCTGTAAAATTAATAATAACAATGATCACATTCAACTACATTGTATGTCTTCACCATGACTAATATAAAATAATACCTGTGTATATGAGGTAGTAATATATTATAATATAATTAGCCTTGAATGAATAATTGTAAAAAAAAAAACATTTATTATTATTATTAGGTATGGCTTACCTATACTTATCTATGAAAGATAATATCTCAAAAACTAAGCTATTCGATGTAACCCGACTCTTCAGTAATGCAGCAAAAGTCTGCTGAAATTCAAGTAGATAGTTCCTGGGTCGAGATTTTGTTAATCACAGCACAACTGACAATTTGACTATTATAGACATAATGAGCTACACAATATCGATTTAATTTAATACATAAAACTTCACTATATACTATAATATTAAACACTAAACAGATCTTAAAGACGAAATGGTACTACTAATATAATTACAAATTACCCACTATGATTTACAAAAAAAAAAAAAAAAAAATTAGGTATAATAATTATTACATTTATTTATTGTTAGTATCAACTACTAATACAACTCCTATAAAAAAAAAATAGGTGTAAAAGAAAATAATTGTATTTGATTATTTGGTGAATTCCGCCCATGAACTAATACCAACATTACGGTTACAGTCGTACGACGAACTACGAACTTCACAACTGTCCGATTGATATCAGAATTCAGGCATTCAGCCGCAGAAAAATGTAGTATATACATATATAGGTTAATCATAGTTATTCAAGAATTCGGGCCGTGGTCGTCACCCTTATCAGTGTTATCATACGGCTGACTTTTTAAACAACTTAATTTGAATTTTAAAGGTGCAATTTGTGGCTTAAAAATAAATGGTATGGTGTGATTAGTAAAAAGATTGTTATGTTGATGACATTTTTGTGTCCAAATGACAATAATTAATAATTAATTGAATAAAATCATCGCAATGAGCTGATATTATTGACCCTAAACCATGGTTACTAGATGTTTTTAACCTTTAAATTATTATTAATTTAATTTATAATCACGTTCTTTACAACTGATAAGAAAGTAAAATTGAAAATTGATCTATAACAATTTTAAATTTTTATAATATTTTAATGGTTTTATTGCTAATCGGTGTTCCTGTTATAAATTATAATTTGAATAACAATTCACAGTTGCCAGTTAATATAATAATATGGCTACACATTATTGTAGTGAGTATTCGAGTTATTTTATTGTACCTTTTAGAAGTTAGTTGATTTTTAGCAAATGTGTTTTTTTAATACAATACTATTATCTTCTTAACTCCACAACTTTTAGTTATTTTTTTTATTATTTCTTATTTTGTAACTTAATTGGTTAAGTTAGTTTGTAACACACAATGCCTTAGAAAAAATTGTATATGCTTTATTTTGATTCTCAGTGAATAAGATTATGTGAAAATAAATATAATATAAATTATTAAGACTTCTAAGAATGTAGACACTTACATCTTAAATTGGTATTAGATTCCTGTAGAAATGTAACTCAACTGATTTATATTAATATTTTTTTCAATTTCATTACATTTTATACATTATCATTACAATATTACATATTTAATTCTTATAAACATTGCCATTAGTATTATCAATTTATCATAACTAAAACTTAATTATACAATTATTGTGTTCCAGTCCTAAGAAATTATGTTAAACTATCATTACCTTTTACACATTTTTTCTCGAAGCTATATAATGCGGTTTTATATTCTATGCTTGTTACAAAATTATAATTTTATACATTTAAAATCTAAATGAAATTATTTTATTTTTGTACTACCTTATGTAACAACAAATTTTTTTTCAGGAAAAATATTTGGTAAAAGTCTTACTCACAACTTAAAAACTAGAATTTGTCCATCATATCTATCAACATTGCCTAAATCACAACTTGATGTTGCACAAGATGAACAATTTTTACCTGATGGTGAGTTTTCTATTCTAGTTTTACATCTTGAATTAGTTTTACTTAATGTTGGACATTGTTATTTTAGAGACCAAATTTAAGTTGTCCAACCCGGATGCTTTTGATGTAAAAAGTATGGTTAGAATTAAAAGCCTATTTGAAGCTGGCGTGCATTTTGGTCATACGGAAGGAACATTAGATAATAGAATGAAACAATATTTGTATGGTAACAGATTAGGACATTTAATTATAGATCTAAATCATACTAAAAGACTTCTACAACAAGCCCTTAATGTAACTGCACATATATCATACAGGTAAATGTACAAATAGACGATATATGCTTATGTGCCCATATTTTGTATTTTACCCATTAATAGTAGGTGTAAATGCTTTAAATATTCATGACTACTCCCCTATTGTCCTTATATTAGGAATGTTAAAACTATCTGACAGACAAATTGATGCTAAATTACAATTTGTATAAAAACATATAAATATCTCATTTGATGGGCTCTTCCTTTTCTCACATCAACTTTTTAATTTCCTAGCATTCCACTTGTTCTATCGCTCCTTATGTTGTACCCAAGCATGCTACGAATTATAACTATAATCATCCATTTGAACGTTTAATGTGCCCTTCCAATAAATCTCAAAACCAGCTCCCAGCTTAACCCGTAAGTGGTACAATGAACAAAAATGTACTCCAATGGTATGGTGTAATGGCCACTTAGTTTTATTAATTATATATTAAGACCATATTTTTCGGTTGTTCCGTTGCATTATTTGTAAAAATATTATATTTAGTGTCAACTTTTATTTAACTATCATTTTCTCGACTCAAATTTAATACTTTTAAAGAAGTAAACCAAAACAAGAAAACTGCAGCGGTCTATGGAACCAGACTATCACTTACGGGTTAATTCATAATCACTGCTCCTTAGTTAATCTCATTGTGAATCTTCTGTCTATATAAATTCTGTAATATTTGGCACTGCCTGTTATTTATAAATTAATGTATTTATTTCTGTTTTTAGAGGTGGAGTAATTTTGTTTTTGTGTCAATCACCCCTCAATTGTCTGACCGTTGAAAATTGTGCAAAAGAATGTGGTGAATTTGCTCATACAAGATATTGGCGTGATGGTATGTTTACAAACTCTTCGAGGATTTTCAAATCTGAAACCAGACTGCCTGATCTGTGCATAGTATTAAATACATTGAGCAGTACATCTAAAAACAATAGTGGACAACATAGTGTTCTCTCAGATGCTGCAAAAATGTTAATACCAACTATTGCTATTGTTGATACAGATGCTAATCCTAATATTGTGACATACCCAATACCAGGCAATGATGATACACCAAGTGCAATAAATCTTTATTGTGATTTATTTAAAAATGTTATTCTTAAGGCTAAAAAAGTTAGAAAAGAAATTTTAGATAAAAATAAAATAACAGTGTAATATAAAAATGTATTTGTATTTAAAGTTGTTGGAAAAATAATAATATAATGAATAAATATTAGTTTAAGTAAAATGCGTTGATATTATCTTCGAGTTAGAACTTTAATGTTTTTAAATCTAATTCATTGATTGTCTCGCAACTTATTAATGGTTTTGTACCCGTAGAGTTCATACAATCTGTAAAATATAGTTGAATTTTTAATTATTCAAATCAAAGAATGATTATATTATATACTTTGTATTTACACATTAAATCATTATTATTTTGGTATACTAACTAAATTTAAAAAATATTAAAATTGTATCAACACGTTAATCACATGACTGTTTTCCCTACAGGGCCAAGCTTTATTTTCAATGTCATGCATTTTTAATAAATAATTTTTTAATTTATTTTAGGTAACTTATATATTATAATTTGGTAAAATAAATATGATGATGGACTGAACCAATACAATTAATAATAACAGATAACTGTAAAATCAATGTATTCATCTATTTGTTCAGAATTAGATCAACAATCTAAATATGCATAATTGTAACAATTGTTTATTGATCTTAAAACATTGTTTGTTATTTTAAGGCTTGTTTAGTTTAGAACAATTTAACTATGATAATATTGATACCAAAAAAATAATGCTAGCATTTTATATCAATAAAGTAAAGTTACTGCAAAACGAAAGTTAATTATTTCTTACTTGTATGATATCACTGGGTAATATATTGTAAAATATACAATTAGAATAAATGGAAACTTTGCCATCCATGATTCTTTCAATTTATTTGCTATTGCCACACATGACAAATGTGCACATCTTTCAGTACTCATTCTGTTGTCTGTTGGCGAATGGGTCAATCCATATTTCTGTAAATTATTTAACAATATTATAGACAAATCACAAACTTAAAGTTTTATCTATATTACTTCTCCTGGTTGACCTGTAAAGCTTTCTTTAAGAAAATTGCTGAAAACGGGACCCGGGCATAAGAGCGTAATATGAATATTAGTGTGCAATTTTTCTAGACGTAAAGCTCCAAAATAGCCCTTTAAACAAACAAATATTTATATTATATTTATTATGATATACTTATATACAATTTTAAGATGTAAATATAATAACATCAAAAAAATCAATGTAAATGAACAGTTTTATAACAATTTAGGTTGTTAATTATACTTTTTACTTCCTAATTTCTACGTAAAGCCTGCTTTACCTACCCTAACTTTACCGGCAACACTTTTTTGTAGGATATTGTGTTAATAAATGTTTATCTAAAAGAAAAACAACTATTTAGTTATGTCCAAGTAAAATAAATACTTAAAATCAGGTGGGGGTTATTAAAAGGATGTATGTATTTTTCACAGCTAAATAAGACCCTTGTTTTTGACTAAGTTATTTGATTTTCAATAATAATTCAAATCATTATTAAGAATTTAAAATAAATAAGGCTTGTTAAGACACTTTAAAGGGAATTTTTTATTTTGTTATATCTTCAATAGTTATCAAGGTTAGGACTAAGTTTTTATAACCCACTACACGCTGAAGACTTCAATGTTTCTTATAAAATGTTGGTGAAATTTCTAACAATACTATTTAATGTTCTTTCTGCTTTCACCTTACCTCCTAAGTGGTAAAACTAATGGAGCTGAAAATATATATAGAATAGGATACAACTTTTAATTATTATTGATTTATAAGTTTCAGAATAATTATTATTGATTTATAAGTTTCAGAATAATTATTATTGATTTATAAGTTTCAGAATAATTATAATAATTAATATAATTGTTAGTTTATTTAAAATAATATATTTTGTATTTAAGTGTTTCCGTGTCAACAATAATAAATTATTATCTAAATTATGTATGTCTTCATTTTAAATTATTTTATGGTCAAAACTGTCATAAATGATAAAATGTATAACCTAATGATTAGATTCAGTCATACAGTAGCTGCCGGCAACTTAAAATTATTACAGTTTACAAATAGTTATCTACTTACATGAAGTGCATGTTTAGTTGCATCATAGGTTGCAGAAAATGGAGCCGGTATAATTCCTGCAATACTAGACGTAGCCACTAATTGACCACGTCCCACTTGATTAAAATATCTTACAGCAATTCTTGATAAATTTATAACAGGAAATACATTTAAATCAAATAATTCTTGATCGACTCCAAGTTCAATATCTTCCCACACAGCTCGTTGTGAACGACCCGCATTGTTTATAAGGATATCAAGCTATATATAATTATACAAATAGTTAAGATTATTGTATTATTATAATTATATCTTAATACTCCCAGAACATGTACTATATAATAAAATAAAAATATTACGTAACCTACATAAAATAATTAGTTGTTTCATCAAACAAAAAGGTAAAAAGAATAATTACTTTCATAAACCTTCCTAACATAACTCTAAACACAACTATAATATTATGAGATCTATAAAAAATCACTGCACTACATTTTAGGTAAAACAACTTTTAAAATATGAATATGAATTCAAAATAATAGTATTAGCTATACATTTTCAAATGTTTATAAATGTAAATGTATTATTAATGATTTAAATTTTAAATATTTATCTTACTTTGCCAAAATGGCTGATGACATTATCAAACAATGAACTGTGTTTAGATATATTGGTGACATCCATTGGTAATACAAGTATATCATTAGCAGTTAGCTTTCCTTCACTAAGTTCTATGAATTTTACAGTACAAAATTAAAAATATAATACAATTTATAACAAATAAAATGTTTTAAAAATTACCAATGCAATGGTTTTTAACTTGATATAGTTTGTCTTTACTTCTAGCAGACAAAACAAGTTTGGCGCCATGTTTAGAAAGGTTCAATGCGATGTGTTCACCAATTCCACTAGATGCACCAGTAATCCAAACTACCTTGTCTTTAAACGAATCTATAGTAAAATTAAAAACAGTTGGTATGTTAGAATAAAAAAACATATTTCAATTTGATGTACATTATACAATCATACAATACGCTATATCAGTACCTATTGTTTAAACATGTTAAATTGAAATATACACATATATATATATATAAAAATCCAATTAAGTATGTATAAAAATTAATTTACAATTTTATTTATTAAAGAAAATGGCCAAATGGATGGCGTATAATATAAATCTGAGGGGGTCGGTGGTTGAATTTTTTTTTTTGTTGCTTGAAACAACATTGAGATTACATCAAAACACACCCCTCCATCATACATGAACTTTAGAATGCATTCTGGTTAGGTTAAATACCACATAAAATACAACTCCAAGGGGTTGATCGATCTCTACCCCAAAAACTAAAAATAGGATACTGCACTGCTATTTTAATATAGGTATATATTATTTTTAAATATAGAAGTCAACTAAAATATGAACCTAGTTGAATATATTATTTTGTACACCAAATACATAACACATATTATTGTACGGTACACCAAATATGACAAACATACTTTATGCCTACCCCTCATCAGTACAATATAATTAAAAAATAAATTGTAATGACATGTAGGATGAATTGGACAAATTTTTCAACACAATTTATTATTCAAATAAATTATTATCCAAATAATTTTCAAACGGGGTATTTGCAAAGAAATGTATTTACCTAGGTATTAGATAATTATTTAAGTACAAATGTATTCAAATAATATCCTACTGAGTATGTACTACGTATATAGTCATGTAGATACTAACCTAGATTTCTCTTGAACTTGTCATAAAACCAGAGTTCTAGGTCGGAGTCGCTGGTAAAGAACAACACAAAATACACTAGGAACTTTAACACCACTATGAGTCCAATAAAACTCAAGAACCCCATGACGACTCGAGACGACTGCAACAGGTAGAATCGAGAATAAATAACTACATAATTGGGAAGCGACTAGGCAATACCTACCTCCTAAGCGTCACACTTCAAAGACTGTTGGATCATAATATTGTACTATTTTAAATCGTGATCGACATAATATTGTTTAGGAACGAAATTACAAATACAAAACTCGTAAATGGTTATATTAAATATGATATGGTTAATAAATTAGATATAGAGATGGGATAAGTAGTTTCGATAACATTAATAATTGGTAAAATAATTAGGTATAATATGATGATGTAGAGGCTCACATTATTTTTTAATTCAATACGTAGTTAAAAATTTATAATTAATTGCAAAATAAAAATAAAAATGATTGATACAAGGTGATGATATTATTAATTAGCATAATATTAGTAGTAGGAGGTAGTATACGCAAAAAACAAGTGACCGACGTCCAACAGGCGGCAACCAACCAATGTCCACAACTAGTAACTACTGGCAAAGTGACCACTGGGCAGTAGTGACTACAATAGTGAGTAGGTACTGACAAAATACAAATGACTAATGAGTACTATTGAGTAGTGACAGACGGTAGAGGTAAACTGTAGTATCGTTTATTACAATACAAATACTGAAATGCCGCCCGGCGTCCGACGAGAACCGGTCAGGAATGCGCAGCCAACCTGACGGCTGCCAACGGAATCAAAAAATAATAATAATGAATTAAAAGTGTAAGAATGCAATTGGCTCGATCTGTGCGACCGTGCCTCCGTTTGGCCTTCTCAAGTCCCCCGTCCATCAATCACCAAGTTGTAAAACGGTACCAAAAGTAATACACTACTAAGTAGACATTAATAATAACTAATAAAGATATATTTTTTTTTGTAGCGAATAGCGATAGTGGTAAGTGGTGGAAATACCGGCACGCTCAACGTATGCGCGGATCAGTAAATTAAAAGGGATAACACCAGTGCTACGACTATATAATATACTACTATGAACTTGTATTACTCCGAAAAAACATTTTTATTGTCAACCATAATAGGTACTGCTCCGATATCAATTACTTCGAACATATATTACTACGAATACTACGATATTATATTATATTACTCCGACATATTTGGATCAAGTAAAAACCATGATAAATAATATTAATAATATAATTTATAAGTTATGTAACCAGGGCCGGTTTTAAGGGGGGGGGCACCGGTGGGCAATTGCCCGGGGGCGGCAAAATTATCTCAGATAAAATAAACAAAAAATTAATTTTTTTCGTAAAGAGAAAATCAGAAAGATTTCTAAAAAAATGTTATATTTTATTATTATTTATTTTTTAAATTCACATATGCATACATTTTTTTTTACCTATATTTTATCATTTTAAATAAAGAGAAATAAACTTTATTAACTAAGTAGGTACTAGGTAGGTACCTAACATTATTAAATATTAGTGGGTTTATTTTTACTAGTAAACTGTAAAACTAGACGTATAGTATAACTGCGTTGGCCCGTATTGGCAAATCAGGATTATCGATTGTACTTATTTACTGGCTACTAAAATACATTTGTGTCATTTCATATTATACAACTTGCTAAACTCTATATGTCAGTGACTACGTACTCCGTACCTACATAATTTAAATCTCAATAAGTGAACTAATATAATAGAAATAAGAGTTTACTTTTTTTTGAATTGTTATATAAAATAAAATATTAATATTATAATTATATTATTTGTAATAATATTAAAACTTTCAACTTTATAATTGATATTGTAAGGTTGTGCCAGTTAAGGTAGGTACACTACAATTACACAGTTTAGGTTCACTTAAATTACATTGCAAATCTGCATACAATTATTGGATATATTTATATGTTTATATATTTATACATTATACATATGAATTGAATGCAGTAATTTAGTCATAGTGGCAAGTAGGTAAATAATAATTAATAAGTAAGACTAGATAAGTTTAATTGTGTCATAACAATTTTTTAGTTGAAATTATACTTTAATGGAGCTAAAAAGAGTCAAAGCTAGTGGTGTATGCAATGGTAAGGAGGCAAAAAAAAGAAGGAAAAACCTAATGAAGTTATAAGAAAAACAAACGAAATAAATACCATGTTTAAACTTAAAAGAGAAGAGCATAGTGAGAAAGTAGAAACCATAGTTTGGAATTCAAAGTAAACACATATTTAGTGATTTGTGATTCTATAATAGAAGAATTAACAAGTCGAAAGTTAGCTTACGATAATGTCATAACAAAGTATAGTTTTTTTTAAGACTCACAAAGATAAAACCATCAGAAGTACGTGTTTTACTTTTAGCTGAACATTTGTACTCAATGTATACAAAAGATTTGGATGTAACATTTATTAACGAATGTGTTCATTTTCAAAGTTATATTCAAAGTATGAAAAATTCTCCATCAACTATAATTGATATGAGTTCTATGTTAAAAATAGAAGGATCAGAAGACATTTACCCGTGGGTTAGTATTGCTTTGCTTACACATGTTTTTATGTACCTACTCCCTGTTCAAACTGTACCGCTGAACGGTCATTTTCAACTTTACGCTGAATAAAAACTACCTAAGGTCAACAATTTCTAAAGAGAGATTAAACTTACATGCAATATTAAATATTGAATCAGAATTAACAAAACAAATTAAATATGAAGATATTATAGATCATTTTGGTGATATTCAATCAAGAAAAAAATTGTAAAATAAACAATAAATATTATTATATTACTATATTATAGTACATATTATTAATTGTATATCATTCTTTATTATTTGAATCATGGAAGATTCTAGGTAGATAGTACCTAAGACCTAAGTTATAAACTAGTTACTCATGTTTTTTTTGTATAGTTTACCTACTGTTAAAAATCTAATATTGGAATGCATAGGTACCTAGTTAAAATTGCTAAAAATTAACTGCAAATTAAATTTCAATGAGAAAGGGAAACATAAAAAATGAATTAATGTTATGCCCCCCCCCAAAAAAAAATAAAATTTAGCCACCACTTCTATGGTATTAAAAAAAGGTACTAGGTAACTAGGTACTAGTTTTTATCATACCTTGTAATGTATACTTATTACTTCTTGAAAACATTATACATGATTATAAATGACAATTTAATAGAATATTTTGTATTTTCGGACTTAGTCGTCCGAGTGAGTCTATAGTTATATTACCCTGCTAATTTAAATAAATATCTACACAGCCATAAATACACATAATATTATGATATTATTTATTCACAAATTGAGTTTACTGTAATTATAATTTTACTCATTACGACGAATAAGCTTTTTAAATATTGAAATAATTATTATTAAATTAGTATTTATATTATTATCATGTGAATTATTTTAATGTGTAAAACCACATATTATGTAATGTTTATACATTCAAACAGTGTACAGCGATACATAATTTAATACAATTAATATACAATACTTACATAATATTATAGACGTAC